TATTCTGGTCACTGTCTCTGGTCTCTGGTCTCTCGCAATCCGGTCGCTGATTGGCTAATCCAAATGATTAGCCAATCAGCGACCGGCTTGCGAGAGACCAGAGACCAGAGACAGTGACAAGAATATGGCCCCAGGAGACCGAGCCTATATCCTTCGAAAATAAATTAAAGAGTACAGGGAAAAGATTTGAATGTGACAAATGCACTTATACACATGTATATACGATACCTAAAGCTTACTCTTCATTTATAACGCTAGTAATTACAGTAGTACATGGGTGAATGTAGAATTAACATTCCTGATATCTTAACTAACTTAAGATGAATAACAAGCCATGGATCATTTAGTTTCTAAGTAAAAACATCTACTCGAGAAAGCGATTATTTTGTGTATTAAAAACAAGTTTGATATTACACGACACAGGAAATTCGTTGAGTAGATTCAAAGATTTCTCTTGTTGAAATCGTAGCTAATCAGCTCTTCAAGTTAAAAACAGTAATTGATCCATGAAAAACAAATGTTCTTATTTGCGTATTTATTTGATTAAATTCTAGTTTTTTACTACTGTTTGATGATTCTTTTCTTGATCTGTATAAACAGAAACAAAATTTTATTCCGTTGAAATAAATGTCAGAATTATTCCTTTAATTCCAACCAAAATAAATTTTTGAATGGCAACGTCAAATAATTAAAACCTTTTAAATATAGCAAGATTTTTATTATTTTCTACACTAAAATAGTTAATTTTCAAATGTCTATATGCTATATTATATGCAATATTTATGATTGTATTTATGCTTAGATTTAATTGTGTTTGGAAACAGTTACATAAATAATAAATAAGAATTTTGATTAAATATAAAAGATATAATAAAAATTTATAAAATGTTTTATTTTATTATTATATTCCTGAAAAATATACTAAGATAATTTAATATTAAATAAAATGCTTTTTTATACTATTAAAATAATTAAATATCGATTATATTTGTTTTTATATATAAAACAATGAGCAAATAAAAAATTGATTTCAATAAACTATATTATTTCTGGTAAAATTTTGTTAAGGATTAGAGGAAGATAGAACATTGCGAACGTAACTCGAACCACAAACTATACAATCAAGGTACACAATCAAAACGAAATTGAAGACAAACTATCTGGTGTAAGCCTAATTGCAAAGTGATTGTCTGTCAACAAGCAACACCGCTCCACCCACTAGGGAGGAAAAGTTTAGAAGATTCACGTGACATGGTATATACCAAGATCCCCTTTTTTACCAATCGTCTTCTCCTTATGCTCTTCTAACTACATCTGTTTAGCAATTATCCGATTGAACTTCACGTTAAAACTCTGAAGAAAAAGTTAAGTAACATTCTTACATTTAATAGCTTTCTCCCACGAGGTTCTGCAAGAACTTTGTGTAAAATGAAGGGAAAAAAGAAAAAAAAAAAAAAAAACACTATTAAAACCGATCGATCCTTCTAACTACATTCCATTTATGCAAATTATTTTTCCTTTTTGGAAACTGATCGCGTTAAAAATAATTAAGGGAAGTGCTTTATTTATTCCGAAAAATTTCATTTATTATTTTAATTAAATCAGATTATGTTTCATATTAATATGTTATGCTTATATTGACGAAATGTGATGAGTTGATAAGGATACAACAGGTATGATCGACTCTGAGTTATGCTTCTATTATTGCAGTTGGATTTCGAACCCGGAATCTACCTCAAGTATTGGAATAAAATATAACGGGTTATCTAGATGTAAAAGTTATTAAAAATTAAATTGTAATCTTCTAATTACCATAGGAAAATTTTTTCAGCAACAACATGGCACTTAAGATTCAAGATACAGTGAAACCTGCTAATGTGACCACTGAAGGGAACCAGCTTAAAGTGGTCACCTTATGCAGGTTGTTACATTAACAGGTTTCACTGTAAGAAAGAATGCCATTAATATTAAATAAAACATGTTTATTATCTAATATTAATGATATTCTTCTTTTTAAATTGCAAGAATAATTTATACGCACCAATTACGTTAAGTATCGTAATAAAAACTAAACGATAAATAATTAAAATGTTGTTTGTTCCATTTAAACATGGCTTAATGTTGTTAAAATACTTTAATTCCGATTTACAACATAAACATAATTTTCCAATAAGCAGTCGTTCTTTAATTACATCAATACTTAAATGAAATTAGTTTAATTACAATTAAATTAATCGAATTTTAATTGTTGTTTGTTTAATTTAGTAAAATTGAAGAGAATTGCCAATTTGAAGTGGTTTATATTTTGTTAAAAACATGGATATTATTATAATTATTATGAGGTAGAGCCTTTTCAAGTGTCTAGACTGAAGAAAGGAGGAGAGTGAGGGGATGAGAAGGAAGATAGCGTATTGAGAAGAATGGCTGAATCAGAAAATATAAAAATAAATACGAAATTTCTCGAGAAATGTTTACAAATTAGTTATAATTACATAAAGTGATAGCTTCTCTACTACAAAATACAGTGAAACAGTAAAAGATATAAAGGAACTCGGCGCTAAAGATGTAAAATATCTCCCATAAGTAATTACTCGTATTAATTACATATTTATTTATTTGATTTTTTTAAACTAAAAATTCATCTGTTTTACAAAAAAATAATAATAAAGGAGAAAAAAATAATACTTCAGAAAAATTAATTTGATTTCATTATCACAATATATCGTAAAGACATCTTAATCAAAATGATAACACAGCAATTTTAATGAGAATTTTTGAGAATACAAGCAAAGTTTTCTACCATTTTACTTATTATTGTAAAAGTACGCATGATTAGAAGGAAATTAAACTGAAACTCATTAAGGAAACTTTATTGATAATCCCTAATTTTATGTTGTCGTCATTAGAAGTCTTGATTAGATTAAACTTAATAATTGATTGATTTTTCAAAAATTTATTTAAAAGTTTAAAATTAATGAAGAATAACACCCCCTTTTACATATAAGAAGAAATAAATTATATATTTTTTAAATGAATATTTAACAAAATAAAAAAAAATTAGAAGAGGGGGGAAAACATGTCAAGGAGAAACAGAAAAATCTTAAATTTTCTCATTACATTTACTGTAGAAGAAAATATAAGTTTGAAAAGATATTATTACTCTTTGTACTATTTAAAAAAATACATTTTTATAAACTTAAATTATGATGTTATTAGTAATGAAGATTAGAAAAAAAAGGACACGAGTGGAACATTAATCAATAAAATTCTGTGGTTAGGAAATAGAAAAACTAACTCCCTTATTACGGAAAAAAGCTCTATGCATATCTTGATGAATTATTTGTGCAGAATGAATAATTACTAAATTTCATTATTTTATCGTCTTTTTAATATATTTTTTTCTTCTAAGATAAGGTTTTTACTTCTTTTTTTAAAAAAAATTAATTTTAAAAAATAATTGTTTAATTTCGATCAAACCATTAATCTTCTTTAGGGAAAAATAATTTCAGAAACTAAAGAAAATGAGTTTATTTGAGGATTTAATGTGTTTCTATTTTTTTAATATTTTATTTGAAGTTTTTTTTTCTTCTTGTAACTCTTCCCAATATTATATATCGAGGGGCGTCATCATTAAAAATACAAACCACGCTTTAATGTAAATCATCCTCAGTATACAAGACGAAAGAGAAATTATTCGTTTCTTCTCAAATTTGCGTGAGGAGAATAGTGAAAATGTTTGTTTACATTGGCTAATGGATTATTATAGTAAAAATATTTTTGGGTATTTATAATGTTAATCATCTCTCATAACTTTTTTCGTATTTCAGAAAAAAAATTAAAGTGTCTGATACCCATTATATATATCTATATATACACATATTAAATTACACGTTATTGTTATATAATTTATATATATAACAGTTATATGTAGCCTATGTAGAGTAATTATATTATAATTGTATAGTTCATACAGGCATTGGTTTCCAATGCTTGTATGAAAACGTTCCAAGGGAAAGTTTAAAGACAAATTTTTGGGGGTTTTCCCACAAGTAAATTGCATTAAACTCTCATAGCCGAGGTTACGATTATAATTTGTGGGACTTTTCACTCGATTCCATAAAGTAAGTGCCATGTTTGATCCCTTTTCAGGCGCCCATTCCTATATTAATTATAGCATAATTGAATTTATGTACATATATAATTTTTATGTGTACTTATCGATATTTAATAAAGAAAACTCTGTTAAAACTTTTTCTTTTTTTATGTTTTAAGAGCTAGATTTATTAAAAATCAAATTTATAAAAAGAAGGGAAAAAATAAAATAAAATATCTTTAAATCAAAAATTAAATTAAATCCCCCCATTTGTATTTTTTATACATTAACTAAAAATTAAATATTTAAGCCAGCAAGCAATTTTATAATTAAACACGTTTTAAAATTAAAATTAAATTTAGCTTGCCAAATGCGAAAAGAATCTTCACATTTGACATCATTTTAGAAAATTTGATCAAGTTGAAATATATTAATTTATTACACATTTTTTACTTGTCCAATTTATTAAAAAAAGGAGGAAGAAAATTTAATTTATCAAAGTAGAAATTCTCGAATAAGTGAGTTTACTTTATTGATTAGAAAATTAATTTATATATTTTTTTTTATNTTTAATAAAATTATAAAAAATTAATTTCTCTACTCGTCTCCATTTTAACATTAAATTCCGCCATTTTCATAATATTAAAACTGAAAAACGATTTAAAAAATAATAATTCGAAACGTCTGTTGTGTGAAATTACATTCTAAAGGTGATTAAGAATTTTTTTTTTTCTTTTCTTTTCCTAAGAATAATTTTCAGAAATGAGAGCCTAAAGTAATAGTATTTAGGATTGATTTAGTGGTGTATCTTGATTTGGTTTACGTCACTTCCTGTACTTCTTTTGGCCTCGTTTTCAGTGGATCGTAGCGAATCGAAGTAGAAGTTGATCAGACGGCAGAACACAACGAGACGTGGCAGCGACAAGTTACATGTCGTGGTTGGTGACATTCATTTCTGCAAGTTCCATCCTGGCGATTGTCACAGGTGAGGATAAGCAGTGAAAAGAACGAAATCATTTTCTCCTATTTAACATCTGATCCCATTAAAAATTGAAACTTCTTCTTTTATAATTCTATCTTATAAAAGTGTAACTCTTCTATCTGTTTTTTTTTTTTTTTTTTCGTTATTCTCTTGTAAATTTTCTATTCGAAAACTTTCGGTCTTTATTTAAATTTTCTTTTCTCGAATTTATATAAATAAGAAAGGTCGAAAGAATAGAAATAATTGCTAATATTTTTACACTTATTTTACATTTTCGAAAGTAAAAAAAGTGCATTAATTACTACTGAATTTTTTTTAAATTCTGTATTATTTATTATTTTGAATTTGTATTTTTCAATTTATATAAGCTGAAATCACTAGAGAATTTTTGTAACTTTGTAAAATAAATCGTATATATTTATAACGTTTTAATTTCTTCTACTACCGCAAATTTTAAATGAAATGCATTTAATTTTTGGAGTTCGTATTCAAAAATAAGCTCAGTTATATAGGCCTATATATATAAAAATTAAGGTTAAGAATATAAAGAAAAGCCATTTTTATAAGTTAATGTGTTAAAAATACGAGTTTAGTTTCTTTACAGAGTTGATATCATCTTTTTTTGCCAGCTCGGGGTATAAAAATAATATTTTCTACTTCAAAATAACACGATGTTAAAATTGAAATTATATAACTCTGAATTATCTCTATTTAAATTGATAAAATACGATTAATATTAGCAAGAGAATTGCAGCCCAATTCAGATTAAATTAAAGATTATTTTCAGATTATTAGAAGAGTTATACCAGGTTATTCTTACAAAAGAGAATTTAGATAAGGCATAGAAAGTCAGAACAATGTTGCTTCGTATTTATCAGTTATTTTAGATAAAGGAAATGTAGAAAATTATTATTACTACAGAAGTGTAATTTTCATATAAAATGCAAGAAAGTCACTTATATAAATTCACTTTTTTTAGGAATAAAATAGGATTTAAAAAAAAACTTAATTTTATTGATTTATAATTGGCATTAATTTAAAAACAGAAATTTCAGAGTAGAGAAACGAACCTAATACAATTTATACGTTAAATATTAAACGTTCACCGTTCACTTTGCTATTATTTCTTAGTAAAAGAAACATTATTTTTTTAATAATTTATATGCCTAAAATCTTATTTTTGTCTCCAAGCAGAAATATATATATATTTTTTTTCCTTCCTCTAAAGGACACTTAAAATAGGAAAATGAGAAATGTTACTTAGCTTTATTTAAATAGAATGAAATTAGTTGTATGGTTTACGTTTAGTATTTCAGTACTTAGCAAGAAAAGAAAATGTTTACTTAGAAAGCATTTTTAAACGTTTTTTTTCTCCCTTATTTATGCTTCGATTTTAACTGAAGGCGCGATAGAAGATGATTAAATGTATAGCTTCAAGGAGAAACATTCTCACATTTTAAGTTATTGATATAAAAAAAAAGAAGAATATTTTCTTTTTTACATTTTAACTGACAGAATAGCTTCTAAAAGCTTAATATCAATGAGAAAATTCTTTGCTTATTGGAAAAACGAAAGAGTTTTTGGCAACCGTTTCTTAGCTTTTAAAATTAATTAATTAAAATCTTTTCTTTAGTATTGGGCGTAGATCGTATTTTATTCTAAACGTTTCCGTGCATTAAGAAGCCTATTTACGTGTATTTTACTTCAAGTATAAAAGAAACAGAGAGAAGGAGTGAAAAAAAAAGAAAGAAGCAATCGTGTTTCTCACGTGACGTCATTCTCTCCAAAGAGAAGACACGAACAACTGTCAGTATTGCAGCCCTCTCTTGTTTGCCAGCGATCAATATCATTTTGTTTTGCAAATATTGCTTCATTATTCGAAGGCAATATACTTTTATCGTCATTAATTAAGCCTCTTTGAGTGTCATAAAAAATTATTTTTTAATAAAAATAACGTAGAGTTGATAGCTTTGTCCATAATTTCAAATCTAATGCGGAAAGACTGAAATATATTTATATGATTTTAGCAAATTTTGTTTTTTTTTTTAATGTGTAATGTCGTAAAGAATAGACAAGGTATAAAATAGGAAGAATTATTATTTTGGTCGAAGCTGTCATCTACTATCATGAAAAATAAATCTAATTGTGGCAATCAATACAGGATGCTGCACTTTCTCCCATCTACATCTTCAATTTTAGTTCCGTAAATCAAAAAAACCTGTTTGTAAACAATAAAATATCTTCTTATGATACCATTCTCGCCTCGATAAATAATAGTTTTAACAGGTTTCCTGTTCTCTGAAATAATAATAATAATAATAAAATATTCGTGGAAACAATCCTTCTTCTCCGTTCACTTTATTGAAAAAAATATATATATATTATAACAATTATTCAAAAATAAACATTGGCAGAAGTAAAACAGAAATAAAATTTCGTTAAAAAATGTTAAATTTGTATTAATTTTATAATTATTGATAGATAAACTAAAATAATAATCTTTCGTGCTTCATTCGCGCTTTTTCAATAACGAAAATTAATGAATTGAGTAAAAATTTAATAATTTAAACTCTTCTGAAGTAAAAAAAAAAAAAAAACGAAGATTAACTAAATCGGTTTAAACAGAAATTTAAAAAAAAATAAAAATAAAAAATATACAGTTCTAGTTTGTGTCCAAAAACTTTTTTTTATATAAAGGAGCAAAGGAGTTTTGCAGATAGTAAGGTTGGAGAAAATGTTTTATTAACGAGAAGACTTAAGAGTATAAAACCTTCTTTGAAAGTCTGACACTTCTTTGTAGGATTCTGTCACATTATCAACAACCCTTTCAGTTTAGAGTAGATTTCTGAATGAAAATGTTTCCTTAATGCAGTCAAAACATTCTAAAACACAACTTTATCTTACTCTTGAATAACTTGAAAATGATAAAATACTAAATAATTAAAATAATTAATATAATTTTTCATTTTTATAATGTAATTATAATTAAGTAGTAAATTAATAATACTTAAATAAATTGATACTTTATATATATATATATATATTAATGTCTTTAGAGAAATAAAGAATTTAATTTAATTTAAATTTTGATTTTTTTAATATGGTATATGTTTGTTTTTAAATTCTGTGCTGTATTTATATAAAAGCATTTGCAACGTCATATGTATTGTATTATATTTACATACACACATACACAGAAACTACACTCTCCCCTATATACACACGTGCACAATCTTAAATAAAGATATTTTAGAAACGTTTTCTTATCTATAAATAATATAATTAGTTCTGATATTACGTTTAGATATTTTGTAAGACCCGTTTATATAGGGAATATTTTACTATTCTGCTTAAGACTATAGGAAACGTATAAGACCGTATGATAAACGGCTGGAAGAACGCCGGAACCAAACTTATACATGAAGATATACGGTATATTACAATGCCATATAAGAAGAGAGATGGTGGAATATCCAGGAGCCCCGCAGACGGCGCCAAGAAAAGATATACGACACTCATGACTCCTGCTTCTGTCTCACAAACATTCACCTCACAATTTCCCGTGACACCAGTAAACACATTTCTTTCCATTTTACTACAGGACTCGAATCCGGATTCATGTTTAATGATTTTTTTGCCATCGTTCCGGTTACGGAAGTGATACACGATACTTTTTTTTATGGTGATCGAGGAAAAAAAATGAAAAATGAAACGCTCGAATGAACTTGGAATGGATGGAACATAAAAAAATCTTCTTATATTCTTAAAAGATGCTGAAGAGGAATAAGGGGGCATAACTATCTCTTTCGTCCTCATATTCTTGTTCTGCTTGTAACATCAAGGAGCTTATTGAAAGAAGACTTTTGGCAATTTTTCAACCAGACTCGATCGCTCTATCTTCCGCTTTACTGATTTCGATTGGGTTTCCTTCTAAGGTAACAATAAACCATTCCGAAGCAATGAAGACTCGCTGGGATGTTCGATTTAAAAGCCTCTTTTACCGAAAGAAAAGGAACCACCTTGGTGCACATCAGGAATCACACATCTGGTGGGAGTTATCGGAAATTTGAAAAGGGTAAAGGCCAGTTTGAAACTGTTGAAGTGTGCAACTGAAATACGGCATGCTGCTTTATGCATGTCTCTTTCATTTTCTCTCACTCAAATTAAGCTCTGTTTTCTAAAATTGTTTCTTATACTGAGCTAGAGATTGTTGAAATTTTGATGATGTCTGTGATTTTTAGAATGGACCAGTTTAAATTGAAATCTTTTACTTTTCTTTTCCCCCAGTAGCTGAATGTTCTTAGTTAAGCTGTTTACTTTTATTAATGAAACCGAATTTTTGTATTATTTGTACTAAATTGATTTTTTTTTCCTTCTTCCTTTCTTTAATTTTCAAATTAAAAATAAACGATTATAATTTTCATTTTTGTAGTAAAAAAAAAATAAAAATTTTATACATCATCACAGCACAGGAATACAGCATTAAAGAACAGTTTTATTGCAAATGTTGCAAATTGGCAAGTTGTAAAACCATCTCTGACATTGGTCAGTTTTCATTAATTGCCAGATTAAATTTGCCATTTTCTGATTTGTAACATTTGTGATGAAACTGTTCTTTAATGATGTGTCCTTGTGGTTTTATATTTTAATGGATTCTTTATTTTTTCAATTTAGTTCCAAATGCAGAATTTGATTACTATTGCATACAGGTTTTAAAGTACATTGATTTTTTTTACAACTGTATAGTTGTACACTATCAAAAACTTTTAGGAAAGGTTTAGTTTTAGTAGAATAAAATATATTCTAAGAAAAATATATATCAGTATTCTTATACAAAAAACTTAGAATTTTTGTACAAAAGAGAAGGCAGCTCTTTAAAAGTTTGAGAACCACTACTATAATCTGTTTCATTAAAAGCATATTAAATGTTTTGTTTTTATATTTTATTATTATAACTAAAACTTAAATGTTTATATCATTTATTGATTAAATTATGTTTCTTC